CCAACCTCCTGTCAGGGGGTTGCAGAGGGTGATAAGGTCTCCCCTGAGCCTCTGCTGGAAGGTGAAAATATGTATGGAGTATCAACTGCATCCACCGGAAACAACCCTGCTTCCTAAACCTGATTCCTACCCTTGACCTCAATCACAAGGCTCAATAACTAACCAATACCAGTGAATCATTCTACTCCCTGGGCTAGGCAACCTGTGCCAGTGTTTCACCACCCTCATAGGAAAAAGCTTTTTCCTAATATCTAACCTAAATTTCCCCTCTTTCAATTTGTACCCATTGCCCCTTGCCCTGTCACTGCAGCTCCTAGCAAAGAATCCCTTTGTTAGACTCTAATCAAAGATGTTTGACTAAAGAATACATCTTCCTGATTCATTACTTTGCAGCATTCCTATGACAAGTTAGCATCTCCTGTGTCCTCACTAGGTAAGTTTACTCCACACACAGAACAGTTTCAGATTGCTAACTGTTCAATTTCAATGTCTAGGGAAGTTCAGCCTCTTCACTACAACCACTGGACACTGGAGGACTAGAGAGATTACAGTTGGGTCCCACATCCTTAGCTACCCCTTGGAAAAGCTCCCCAGTTTGGGCACTCCTCCAGTTGATAATTCCCTGCTCTAGTGCAGAATCTCTTAAAACAGTGAAGAAGGAGCCCTGTCCGTGGTGCTTGGTCACCATGCCACAACACCAGGGAGGCTGCTGTGCTTGCACCTGGTTACAAAACACCTAACAAACTGAAAATGAAACAGACAGCAACCCAACCAACAAAAAAACCCCAAACAAAACAAAAATAAAACACCAACAAAAAGCTGAAACAAAGGCCTTGCAGTGTTGCTACCAAAGGTGTATTAAGATAACAGGGCTTTCAGCTGAGTCTTCAAAGCCACCTTCAGAACCAAGTCTGTCAAAAAGGTTACATAGGTTCTTGTTCCAGGGGAAAGCACAGAGCACCAGAGCTGAAGCAATGTTTAATACCTGACATCATTCTTGGATGCAAAGTCTGTGACACGACACCTCTCTCCCCTATCTAAGGGCTATCCATCCCTGCCCAGAGCTGGAGCACTGTGCACCTATAAAGGTTGTTGTCCAGGGCTGTTCCAGCTTCATTGTTTCAGACTGAACAGCTTCAGAAGAGCAAAAACCTTGCTTACCCAGACAACCAAGATGTTATCTGTTGCAAATTTGCTCTACTGCTTAAAGACAGCATTTTCACAGCCAGAGGCTTCCTGTCTCCCTCCTCATCAATGGGGCTTTTCTGATCACTTCCTGCCAGGCCTGAGCATTGATACATCTCATCTGCCAGGTGGATTATTACTACCTTGAAACCACCTGAAAAGCAAAGGCCACACAGCAATGTCAGGTACCAGCAATGGTTTGTTCCTATTACAACACTTGCCAGTTTATCTCAACTACAAACAACTAAATAAAAAACACATCCTAGTCCAAAATCATTGAAATGTGCTGCCCAGGGAGGTGGTGGGTTCACCATCCCTGGAGATTTGAAGATGACACTAGATGTGACCACTTAGTGCCATGGTCTAGTAACCACAGTAGGGTTAGACTCGATCTTTGAGGTCTCTTCCAACCTGGTTGATTCTATGATTCTGCTGTTGAGTCCTCTCCAAGGCACAGCAGAATATAACTCTCCTTCTGGAGGAGTTCTCCCTCTTAAGGTAACTTCAATATTGGGATTAAACACCAGTGCTTCTCAGATGTGAACTACTATGAGAAGAAACTAACTAATTTCAGAAAGCCCAGAGTATATTTTATGTCCAAAGACATGGAATTGACAATACAAGAGTTTACATGTGTCTTGCTTTGCTGTGTAAAGATCCAACATTACAGGCTGACAGCAGAAGCCACTGAAACTCCTAGGTGAATATATGTATTACATATGAAAATAGACTATAACCTGAAATCTGCCTGCCCTTAGCATCACAACACTTCAGCTTTTTATGGCAAGATGGACTGCTGGTGCCCTAAATGCCTCAGAGAGGTACAGAGGCAACAAGCAGGTGAGCATCACTTGGAGAGACCAGAGAGCTCTTGCAGCCAGTACTTCACTCACATCCCTTGCAGTGGATTATTTTCACATCATGAGAAAGTGCAACAACTTAACTCATATCCTGAAGTCTGGATGCTGTTCCAAAAATGCCTCTATAGACTATCTTGTCCATCCAGACTGTTTGTACCATTACGTGGGAGAACTCCACAACTGGAAATGAGAAAATACTTGCTCTCCAACCTTGACAGCTGTGATAAAAAGGCACTTCAGTCAGAGGAGGAGCCTTACTGCACACATCTTCACTTCAGCTCCAGCTGAGCAAGGGAATCATACTGCCAGATTAGGATGGGTGTTTTCACCCAATGATAGGGTGCAAATGACTTGTTTCTCAGAGGGGGAAAAAACCTTTAATTCAGAAAGTAATTTCATCTCAGGTTCCAAAAGAGACATGCCTAGATACTAGAACACAAACTAAAGCTGATCTTATATTTGTGATAAAATTTAGCCCAACAGCATATTGCATTGTGTTGAAAATTAGACCATTAGGAAAGAAATCACATTCATTAGACACTATGAGTTGGGCAAGCATCCATGGAAAAATATAAAATGATTTAGCCTGATTTTCCACCCAGTTAATCAGTCCTGAAGCCAATGGAATCATTAAGCAGATTTCTCTAAAGAGCCCATACTGCTTTAATAACCTGCCTATGTGTCAGAGAAGCTGAAGAAAAGAGAAAGTTTCAGGACTGAAGGAAAATTTCCGAAACACATTCTGAGTATCAAGCAGTTCAGGAAATATGAAAATTGATAGCAACATTTAACATTATGGTGGGGACTAAGTCACCAGCACTTTACAGCATCAAAGGCTTGGATCTCATTAATAAGAAGAGTATTTTCTCCTCAGTTTTGATGTAAAAAAGCACATGAGCATGTGGTATGCATTAGGATTACTGCTCTCATGCAACATATTAGGCACATTCATATACTGTAAAAAATACTAGCAACTTGCTTCATTTGGAAGTGCCTTTTTAACTTAACACATTATGTACAGAATCCCGTGTTTAGCAAGGAAAAAAGCTAAAGAAATCCTGCCTGAGAAACTGCAGAAGATTAATATGCTTGTTACACATTTTCTTGTTTCTACAGATCTTTAATAGGTTAATAACAGATACACCCTCAAGAGTGGACGTTTCCCACTGTGTAAGAGCTGAAGTCAGGCAGTTGTGTGTAGAATTCTCTACTAAACATTACTACAAAATGGATAATCATTTAGTTATTGGAAGAGGAGCTGAAAGTGCAAACCGAAGTGATCATTAAGGACAAGACTAACATCTAGTGGGCACTCGGGGAACTGACCCACTGCTGTTCCTGCTGCCACCATACACGTAGGAAGATTAAAGGACAGAATCTGCAGCTGATGAAAGTCAAAATAATGTGATGATTCATGTCTGTCGAAAGAATATCTAACTAAGCAAATTTAAAAACCAAACCCAAACACGTCAAGGCCATTTAAGATGTAGGATGAAAGTACAGATCAAACCTTGAGAGAACATCATGAGTCATTGAAAGGATGAAGATAGATACATAGTGGTAACAGTAAGAGGCAAACAGGACATCGATGCAGGGTGAGTAAAAAAGTGCAGCACTTATAAATTACTTATGTTGGGACTTCAAACTGTTGGGAGTGAAAAGCAAAGTGAAAACAATAAAAGTCCCAGCAGTAAAACTTCAAGCCACTATTTAGCACCTCCTTTTCTCATCATTCCAATCCTTCTGTTATTGTAATACCTCCCATATAAGGCCGGCAGTTAAACCTTCCCAAAATATCAGCCAGTAGCTGCTGAGCTCCAGAGAAGAGGAATTTGAAACTCGAGGCTGCTGTAACTCAGAATTAGCCAAGATACCTGCTATGAGTGGCCTGGTTAGTTTACAGGGTGAACTCCTACCAAGATCATAGATTATTTTAAATCTGTTTTACTGTTCACCAAAGGCAAAATTAAGCAGTTAAAGCAATTCAAATCTGACCTCTCTATGCCTCATTCAAAGTCTTGAGCACATCTGCTGAACTGAAAATTGGATTTCACACCATAGTGGTAAAACTTGCCTCACTTCCAAATCTTTCACATTTCAGTCACTGTCCAGTATTAAAAAAAAAAAAAAAAAAAGGAACAGCTTTGCAAAAGATTAGAAACTATATTCAAAAGTAAAACATCATCTATGAACACATCTGAGTGCAATTTATATTACTTTCAATTTAAACTGGCATCATGATTACTTTGTATTTAGTTACAGAGAAGTCAGTGTGGCACTAGGCTCTCACCATCAGCAGCAGCCAGAGTCAGCTATTAGGAAATAAGTACCATATTCTCTTCTTACATGATGATTCTCCAACCAGCAGGACACAAAGAAACCCCTGCAGAACTGCTGATTGTCCTTTGTGTCCTAACTTCTCTTTCCAGGGTCTCAAAGTTAGCTTGAACCAGAAGCTACTAGTCAGTAAGAGCACACACAGCCTCCCAGCAATGGAATCCAGGCTCTGAAGATATTTGTGCACCATACAGCCACAATTAAAACTTGTAGTTTTCAATTCTCATTCCTAGTGAGACTCATTAGCTGAGCCAGTCATTAATGACAGAAAACAAAAAGGCACAAATTCAAGTCTAGAAATGCAAGTATTTAAAAGCTAAGTCTCTGTGCAGGCTAGCTGATATTTCACATGAGAGCAAAGTTTAACTAACCCCACACAGTCCAGTTCTGGAAAATCCCACTGCCCATGCCACTGCAGGATCTATAGATCAAGGCTGTTATAACAAGCCTGATAAAAAAAACAGCCTAGCAAATTCACAAGGCAAACACCAAAAGCAAACAGCAAAGTAAACCCAGCCACATCCCCTCTTCAAGCACAACAAGCCATATTTCACTGCATCAGATGTCCTAATGAGGGAGAACTGTCTTAAGTCAGGAAGCAAAGCATCATTGACCAACCCGGATTTCTTGGAGATTATGGAAATTGTTTCCTACTCGGACGGAGATCTTGCTCGGAGTGTAACTCTCATCAGACTTGTAGTCTGCATAAATACACAAAGTCTTCACTGTTGTTTTTCGCCTAGAAGAAGCAACACAAGCTATGTAAGCACCATAAAGAGGAACATTCTGGATGAGTTTGCTCCTAGCTTGCAATAACTAAGGATTTAAAAGTTCTGACAATGAAAGAAGTCTGTCTACTGATCTACAAGGAACTCCTTGTTAAAGCAACAAGGTGTTTTTCCACATTACGTTATGCACACAGAGCTGATTGTCACTGTTCTCCTTTCTCTGCCTTCAGAAGTGTCAGTATACCAAGGAATAGGACAAGATGCCAAATAAGCACTTGTATGCAATGAAGCTGATGTTCAGCTTATCAAATACAGGCTCTTGTTAGACCAAGGACTTCTCAAGAAAGCAAAATTTAAAAAGGTGCAAACATCTAACCCCACCTGAAGTTTGGTTAAAGAAAAAGTACTGAAAGCACCCTACACAGGACAGAATAGAAAAAGGTTTCTCAAACTCAATTAGGTTATACAGAAGTATAATGACAGACATCTACTCAGACACAAAGGCAGGACAAAAGTCACCTCAGGCAAATCAATGTGAAGCTGTTACAGACTATTAAACAATTTTTTTTGTTGCTGATTTAGGCATTTAGTAATCAGAACATTTGAAAGTCTTATTTTCATAAATGCTGTCTGACTTCTCACCAGTGGCATAGCAGGATTTACCCAGGAGTCCCTGCACTTCCCTAAGCCCTGTCGGGGTGAACAGAGATCAATACAAAGTTACACAGAACACCCAAACCCACGGGGAGCATTTTTAATACCTAAATTGGATGTTCACCAAGTGAGGCTGTGATCCATCTGACTGCCAGTAAGTTTCTAGATTGTCATCTCGTAACTGATCCACTCCAAACCCTAAGAAAAAAAAATGCAGTAGTCTTGAACATCCCATTTCTGTGATGCTAATGTAGCTTTTCTCCAGCTGCTACAAACTCAAGTGTCTATCCTAAGTTAAAACATAGAAGGAAATGTTTCTAGATATCCAGGTTATGCCTGTGCTTTTTTGACACAGAACTGAAGCAGGGGGAACCTGTCAAAAGTTCACTACTGTTGAAGTCTGTGGGGTGTGGAACCATGTCAACATGTCCTGGAATTTCAGAGTAAAGTGGTGATTCATGTTGATTACAATAACAATACTTAACAGTTAGATTTTTTCAACCTATTCTATGTTTAGCTGCTAGACTAAAGGAAAATCATTAGCACAGACCATTCATTTACTATGCAATGTTAGACAAATACATTTTCAAGTAGTCTCCCTAAGTATTTTTGCTGAAGCAGCTGAAGTTTAGTCTGTATTAAAAAATAAAAAAATCACCTTCACCCTGTTGGAATGACAAACCCCTAAGATTTTTTTCTCCAAGATTCCAGGATATCAGACCACAGATATTCAGCCTGAGCACAATACTGTGACACAAAGTGATCATTGACTCAAGGCTGCAGCAAGATACCAGACCAATTCCTAACAGATATTTCTGAAATAGCAACTCAACCACCCCAAAGGGCAAGAACACACATTTTCAGCTGTTTAGAGCAGGTATCAGTAACTGCACCTCAGGACCACTGACAATAGTTTAATTTTACTTGCATGGTTTAGGGTTCATGTAAAGTTTAGGCAGAACATTTAGGTCACTCAGCTGCATTGCTTTTTTTAGTTAAAAACCAAGGATACCCAAGCAAAATGCCAAAGCATAGAGACAATCACACAGTGCTGAATGCAATTCTGCTCACATGGTTTAGTTTGTTCACTGTGCAAGCAAAAAAAAAGCGACTTAGTATAAAATAGGTAAAAGATGTTTTGTTTATATGAGACAGGTCCTCACAGTAGAATTTCTGACACAGTTATAACCTTGATATAGTATCACATACAGACAAGGCCACAATTATTTGTAGTGACTACCCACACAGCCTACACTACAGCAGCTTTACTGCTCCACTCTGTGTATGTTTTCTCACTGAAACACAAAGCACAAGATACTCTGAGAAGAAACATGTCCATTCAGCTTTTTCCATCAATTGCTGCCATTTTACCTGGCTTACAGGATGAAAGGGACCAAACTGCTTGTGAGCCTATTTCTCTAACAGTTCCAGTCCTCTCCAGCTGCTTAGGATCAGCACCAGGTGGTGTCTTGTTTGGGGTAGTCATTTCTAGTGAAAGAAAACAAGTCTGTTAGTTGACACATTTTTACCTGGATGGGAAAATTAAAGAGTTGTGTTTGCGTACATAAACACTTTAATCCTTTGGCCAAACATGATAGCCTATGGAATATGTGGTTTATACCTAAACACACCTATGCACACATTTCTGCACATCTGTAGAACCTTTTGTCTATAAAACAATAAGTATAAATACATGTATCTAAGAGGTTCCACATATATATAAGATCTGTGTCCTTAAAAATTCAATACATACTTGGGACATTCCTAAGACATACTTTACTTTAAGCACTCTAATTCACACATACAGAGTTAGGGTTTCAGGATTTCATTTTTATGGTTCAGTTTGTTTTTAAGAAATCAAACCGGACCCTATTGATTTAAATGCTAACAGCACAACTTCATTCCCCCCTCAGCTGTACTTAATCTGCAAGTTTAGAAACCTAGAAATGAGGAGCAAGCCTGTCCTCCTGGAGATACTTCTCCCTAAAAGCAGGAAGAGAGAGCTCAGGCAAATTGTATAGTCTCTAATTTGTAGCTATTTGCTATTGCCACATTTATCCATGGTCCATTTCATTAATTTCACAAGTTCATCTGGAATCATTAACCTGTGACTTGCACCAATGCAGTAATCAAGTTCAGTCTCTACACCTACGCTACTTCCACATACACTACCACATAAACATGTTTGCTCTCATCTCATATAAAGCACCTTACTACTTCCTAGAAAGTAACTTCAAGGACTTTAAAAAATATAAAAGAAAACCACAAAAACATTCCAAAGAAACAAGTTCCATACAAGGAACTACATTAAAGGTTAAAACTGAATGTAGAGCACCCAAGAGTCAGGGAATCCTTTGTTTACAGGCATAACACCATATGATGCTCTGCTGATCTCAGAGCAGTGTCACAGAACCTCACCCAGACAGCAAACGAGGTACTGAACTGGGCTGGTACCCACAGGATCCAGGCCTTACCCACCACACAGACAACACCAGGCAGAGACAAGATTGGCTATGTACTCATAACTCTGGAGCTACAAACCCTTTGCTGGACACAGGCAATCTGAATTCTGCCATGCACATCACTGTCTGCACTAAACACTTTCTCCTGGCCCTTGGCTAATTTAGTTTTCACTTTGCAAACACAAGACTTGAGACAGACCTCCAGGGTTTTCTGCTACTTTCTCAAACACAGACTGCAATCCTAACTACCATAAAAAAGAAAATCTGAAGATACAATTGCATGTGTGGTAAAGTCTAAGTACTGCCACAAACCAAACCCTTGCCCAAACACTATTCTCTCAGGAAAGCAGGCTGAACACTACAGTTAACCTACAGATAATCACATATATATATAGCCATATAATTCAGATATACTAATCCTAATGCCACTCACATTAAAAAAATCCTCACACAACAAGATTTCTCCACCTTAGCCATTCCCAAGGAGACACTAGCACAAAAATTTTCACTGTATTTAAATTTTGCATTAGTTGATTCAAAACTTTTATCTGGTATTTACAACAGGCTCTTTAAAAAGCAGCTGTTCTTTCCTGAATCAGCCACACTATAAACCTGGATACATAGAGAAGAGATTAGAATGGCATAGAAAATAAAGAACTTCCTCTGGTTCCTACTTAATACAACTTGAATTTTTTTGCTAGCAGCTTCAATAAAACACAATGTCACAAGTATTCTAATCTTCTAAGAACTTAAAACAGTCTTAGGAGAAAGGTTACAAAGCACTTAGTTCACAGCCACTTGAAAAACAGAATCACAGAATGGTTTGGCTTGGTTGAAAGGACCTTCAAAAATCATCTGGTCCCACCTGCATCCTACACCAAAACTGAAATTAAGTTTATTAAGCATTGGGGAGGTAATTCTCCTGGACTCATGAATTTTAAAGCTCAAGTGACCTACTAGTACAAGCTCTGCACTATTCTTATACTTTTGTGACAATGACCTAAGAGAAATTGACTTTCATTCACTTTCATTCTCAGATTCATGCAGAAAGCAAAAAAAGCTGTTCTTCCCACCTCTAAAAACACACGTAGAAAATTCAGCTTCACACTTGCAGTTCAAGTGATCTCATCCCAAAGACATCATACAAATCATCCTCTGAGTATCATCATCAGCAAAGCTTCACACTCTTCTGACTTCGAGAGAAAATGAATTAAAAACTCCAAATCTGATACAAACATTTTCATTCCTAGAAAGAGTTGTGGTCAGAGACCCACCCTTAAGACACCAGGAGTATGCAAACATCCCTTCAAAAGAAGGGAAACCACAGAAATTGCATTGTTCACTCAGATTGTATCAAAGTTGATTCCACATGCTCTTGGAAAAAATTACTAGCATTTTAAGGTCTTCAGAATCCCTTAAGACAACAAAGCTGAGATTCCTTATAGGCTTCAGCACACACAGAAAAGTTCTAAGTGACTTCACACTGCCAAGGGTTGTGTTGCACTGGTTTCCAAAAACTGGAGGTTCTCAGAAGTTTCATTTTGGGGTCTGAAACACACAGCAAGAAACACCATCCAAGTTCGCCACTATTTTAAACTGGGCTTGTTTCCTTCTATTTAACAGGCAAAGCTCCTTAAAATCCCAATTTCAACTCCAAATCACTGCTGGAAAATAGATCAGCCACAAGTTGTGCCCTCATGATGTGACAGGCTGAAAATCTTTAATGGTTGAACTAACTGAGTCAGATTTTCATGGCAGAATTTCTGTTTAAGTAGCTCAGGAACAATACATTCTGGACAGCTTTGCTGAAGCTTCCCAGTACTCTCAGAAAGAATTTTTAAACCAGAAAGCTGATAGAAGTACTAAGGAAACATGATGCAGCAACAGGCCAGCTCACTCAAGTAACACTTCTGGACATTTTACTAGCAGAAGTATGAACAAGACACAAACACTTAGCTTTAAAAGTAATTTAAGTCACCTAATAAAATTTTTCTTGGCTTTTTCCAGGCTGTGTAAAAACAACTAACCTTTCTAGTAGCCTTGACACGTGCTGAAAAATGGAAAGACACATTGCATCTATAGAAGCACTGGCTGGAAGCATCTCCAATTTTCCAATTCAGTTATTCTGAAAAATCATCAATAGGCTGCTGTTTCCTCACTAGCAACATTAATATAGGAATGTCTCAATGATATGACCAATGTCACACTCTGCCACTTTCCACTATGTGGTTTGTACATCCTTTGAGCAGGACAAAACAGTGGCTAAGCTTTTTTTCCCCCCCTCTCCTTGAACTCTTAATCCCTCACCATCTTCCTCAGCGAAGTTTGCTCTTTCCCAGAGAATATCCCATCCCTGTGAAGTAACAGCCATTAAAGACCTTTTAGCAAAGGCACAGTTTATAAACAGAGGGAACTGGATTGAAGTGGCTGGACAGCTTGCCTTTCACAGCCAAAACACACAGGTCACTCACAGTGTAGCAGCAGAAGTCCATACCTGAGAGCAAACCCTTCTCGAAGCACAACACACTGAAGAGGAGACACAGATGGATACACCATGGGCCTTCCCTACTAAAGCTCCATAAAAATCCAGGCTCAAGGAACCATGCAGATTCCAAAGCAGCTTTCCCCGATTAAAATTTCCAGTTCCACCCTGCCAATACCCACAGAACTGTTTCACACACCTGCAAGGGCCTTTGAGAAACCAGGCTGTCCCCAACAGATGTCTGTCCACACAGACAAGATTCCACAACCTTTGTTGGACACACAAAGCTTCAGTCAACCTAAAAGCCAAATATTTTGCTTTAGCATCACCTTCTGAAAAGAAGCATGATTTCCCCTCTTGCTCTACAGAGAACTCAAAGACTAGTTCATCCCCAGCCTTTACACAGCAAACCCTTTTCAGATGTGAGGGCACTCGCCAAATTTGCTCCTAGTTTCTTCTCTTCTAGTGTGCCCATGTCTTTCAAGTTTCCCTCACAAACCAAGTTTTACAAACCTAATATTCTTGCAGAGTTTACATATCTACATCCTATTGTCTAAAAAAGCCACCACACCATTTCACAAAGGCCCTTATCCCACAGAGAAATCCCTTTCATTGTCTTTATGTTCAATTACACTTTACAACTTGGCAAAGTAACACCTGTCTAGATGAAAAAACCAGCCTATCATCAATTAATATTTCATTTACTATGCACTACAGTCCTCAAATGCTTTTTGGGGATAGTGAGTTGCTCAGCAATGCCCCTTCCACTAATGAGGCCTTTGAATTTTGAATTCCCATATTCTCTTCCTCCCTCAGTTCTTATTACACTGATTTTCTATCTTCCATGAATCTTCTCAAGATCATTTTGAATTCTTACCCTGAGCTTGGGGAGTGCTTGCAACACTTCCAACATTTTGTGTTCACCATTCCAGAAAACAATGAAAATACACTCAAAGCTGCACAGGCTAGGAGGACACTTTGTGACACCTCTGTTTAAAAGTGAGTTATTACCAAATCAGCTTCAAAAGTGACTTTTCAACCAGCTGCACATGATCCTGACAAAAATCACTACTTTTACAGGCTGAACAATAGCAGAAATCCTGAGAAACTCAAGGCAAACCCCTTATATTCCTTCTTCATTCAGTGCATTGGCCACTGTAAAATAAAGTCGGATCCCGACTGTTCTTAGCAAACCACACCAGAACATTTCCTGTTTGCACACTGGTTTTAATTGTCTTCCACTTACTGACAAATTCCCTTCCCAAACCACCTCCTTGGAATCTTTCAGGGGGTCAAAGCTCAGCTAGTTTAGCTTTTTCTTTCTTTTTTTTAAAAAAATTATTCTGATTCTATTTCTCACCATATAATTTTATTTTGTTTCAGCAAATACCTGACTCCAATTTCTCCAGGAAGACTGAGCAGAGGCTGCACTGACTACTCTAGCATTTTTTCAATATCCATAGGACTGGTTTTCCTGTTCTTAAGAATGGGAGGGAATTTCATACCTGAGATTCCCTGACCTTTTTTTTACTTGCACTACTC